GATGCTATGTTATGATACAAGGTAAAACAGATACAAATTAAAACTTAAAAACTGTTGGGTCCCAATTTTGCTTATTGGGCTTGCTGGCCCCCTTCTACTGGACTATATACTGTTAAATAATGCGAAGTAGGTGTAATTAAGTAACACACTTTATTCTGTCACACCTTGTTTACAGATTTCACAGAATGTCGAATACGACAATTGGTTTGATATTCTCCACAATAAACTAAAACTTCTTACTTAACTAGACCTTTCTTAAGTTATGCTAAAGCTAAAACCATACTGTGTGAATGAGGGTACTCTCCAGCGATAGGTAAATAAAACCGGACCCACACTATTGGTTTCCAAGGGTAGGTACACATCCCTTGACAATCAGACATAGACAATAACACAGAGGCGTAAGAGTGTTTAGAAAATGATCGGCAGTGGGCACAGCTTTGTGATTGACCGTGTATATATTCCATTTACAGTGCGTATTTTTACCATACGGACCTTATTGTCTAAACCTGGCATTACTTCCAGTATCCGAGCTAACCACCATTCCAAGGGTGGAACATTATCCTCTTGTATTAATACCAAATCATTTGCCTTTAAATTGTTGCATTCCCGAGTCCATTTTGGCTTATGTTGTAATATCCCTTCAATTCAAATTAGGTATGACATTGTCAAAATTATTCTGAGTAAATAGGACTGGAAAAATCCCAGGAATACTGAATTTATTATGGGCTAAATCTAAATTTCTACGTATCATAAATTCAGAAGGATCAATAAAAGTTTAGGGAAGTTCACAAGTAATTTTGTCCAGAACACCACATATTACCGGAAAGTTTTTTGTACCTGACTCTGAACGTTGTGGCAGTAAAACCAAATTTATCATTTGAGAAACATGATTGATTTTTTTGGAAATTCTCGAGATTTTCAAATTACCTTTTGTTGTGTCGTCTATCAAAATTTTTACTGTTTCTGTTGTAACAAATAAAGTTTGCGAGGCTGAATCTAATAATGCATGTACTTTAATACTATTTTCATTTTCTGACACTTATGTTACCTGTGCCGTAGCTAATAGTACGTGACTTCTTGAGGTAGATGCTAAACACATGTTTTTCATATATTCTGAGTTAGTGCATGTAAACGTCTGAGAAGAACTTTGAGAATTATTATGAGAAGTACTTTGAGAATGAGTGTGAGAAGGACCTTGAGAAAGAGTCGGAGAAGAACCTTGAGAAAGAGTTTGAGGTTGAGTTATTTCTTCTCTGTTACTTAAATGCTGATTTGACACGGAGTTCCAATTTGTGGGCCTATATTCATGTAAAAGAGTGGTGTGGATTTTGATAACCTTGATTAGAAGATAAGATTCCCTTTTTATCCAAAAAAGCGAAAAACTGTTCAAGAATTGGCAGAACCTTTTGATCCTTTTTAAGTTTTGAACTCGTTTCTTAAATTCCTATCCAATTTATTAAAGAATATGTTCATTAACAGTTAAGCTCAGTTATTCATGACCTTTACTGTGAGTGCCTCTAAACCATTGATATGTTGTCTTATTTGTCTCGTGAAATCTTGAAGCGCCTTTGGATTTTTTGAAATAGTTGTGTGCAATAAACCGTTTATGTGATAATTTATAGCAGGCAATTTCTTATCATGATGAGCCTTTAAAATATCCAAAGCCTTAGTATAATGGCATTAGAGATATTTAATAAATAGATAAGTGAAAGGTTCGTCCTTCACAAAGGATTTCAAATAAACAAATTTCTGAGAGTTCGCCAGCATTCCATCATTATGTACGCTAGCTGTAAATAAATCAATGAATGTACGCCATTTTCCATACTTTCCGCTGAAACATGGAATATTTATACTTGGGAGTTTAACCTTAAGACTCTATTGGATAGTTCCTGAGTTTTGTTGAACACTGTCTGATTGTCCTAGAGATGTCCTACTGTTTGAAATCGTCAGATTTTGAATCAAAGTTTTCATTGCTATGCAGAGAGATATATTTAGTTTCGGTTACTTCCCTATCCTCACACTGAAGAGTAATCTGTTCTAAATCATTTTCGTCGATGGAGTTTTCTATTTCCCCTTGACAATTTTCATATTTGGAGAAAGCCTTTACCAAGAGAGATTCTCGTTTTACCAATTCGTTAACATTAATAACATCATCAGCTGAAAGAGAATTTACAAAGTTTTTGATTCTAGTTATAGCAGCTTCACAGCGAGACCTAGTCTTTTTACTGTCTGTGTAATTTACAAAGTTTTCGATTCTAGTTATAGCAGCTTTACAGCGAGACCTAGTCTTTTTACTGTCTGTGTTCATCTTTACAAAATGCAATAATATTTTTCTTAATGGAGAGAAATAGAGACGGAATTCTAAATTCACAAAATAAACCAAATGTAACTATAACGTGAACTTAAAAATGTTCCTTACTAAATGGGAAATTTCAAGATGAAAATAGAGTTTATAAAAATGGTTGTATTTTTAAATTGAATGTCTGTAGCAAGTCCCTGCTAACCTTGTTTTCTTCTATGAGAGTAACAGTTGAAGTAATGAAACGATCTAACCTTTTTGTCCTTAGTTTTGGCTGTTGGGCCAATTCGTCCTATTTTTCTTGCCACCCAGCTGTACCTGCGAGTGGTTGGAAATTTCCTTGGTGTCTTCAGAGAGGAGCGACTCAGCTAAATGAGAAATGTGTCCTTCCTTTTGCAATGAACCCTTCAAGTGAGAGATGCGATGTATGAGTTGAGAAACTTGAGTTTGCAAAGTTTGTGACAATCTATGTGGAGCCAGAGAGAGAAAGAGTCTTGAGCACGTGCTTCTTCTAAGTGCGGCTACAGTGTATGAAATTACCTTTTCTTCTTAGATCTTTGAGTACAAAACTGAGAATCCGGTTCGAACTGACCAATTTGTTGAGTCCCAATTTTTGTTTTTGGGCTTGCTGGCCCCCTTCTACTGGACTGTTTACTATTAAAAAATGTGACGTAGGTAATTAAGTAACACATTGTCACACCTTGTTTACAGATTTTACAGAATGTTGAATACGACAATTAGTTGATCAGTTTAATTTGATGTGAAAAACACTACCACTAAGCTTATACAAGTGAGAACCCTTGATATTCTCCACAATAAACTAACACTTACTACAAATACACCTAACAGACCTTTATTACATCATCCTACAACCATACTGTCGAACGAGGGTATTCTTTCAGCGAGAGGTAAAGAAAACAGGACCCAAGCTATTAGCGTAACAGTGTTTAGGAAACTCAATTTAAATTTTATTTATATTCCCAACAATCACCTTCGATCAAAAACTTTTGATTGAATTTGAAAATTCCGTAGGACATTGTAATGAATATTTTAATCAACTTTTCAATAAATATAATACCAACCAGATTGTACACAATCTGTAACAATCTGTTGCGTGGAAGTTATAGAAAATGTCTTGGTTTTTATGGTTATTGATGGAAATTTAAGCATTGTTGCAAAACATTGAACTATTAATTGTTATTACTATTGAAAACCAACATTATGTTGGTTTTACGAAACCATATCAATTCTATGGTATCTTAAAAAAGTTTTTCAGTTTACATTACATCATCAGAGACACTGCAGAATAAAAAAACTTATTTGAAAAATTAAGATTAATCTAGAAATAGGTTATGCCATTATGTTTTTTGAGATGCAATGTTATGATACAAGGTAAAACACACACACAGATTAAAACTTTAAAATGATTTAATTCCTTTTTTCAGTTGTTTATGTCTGAGAGTTTTCTGTACTATTCACCTCAATACAAACAAAAATAACAAAAAAAAGTTTGAATAATGCTGTTTAATTACTTCTGATTTTATTAAAAAGTAAAGATTTGGTAATGATTCTAACGAGGTTCATGTCTGACTACAACTAAATATCAACTTTTTTTTCTCTCTCTGGAATTTGAAAGGAGGATTTTTTTTTTGAATGAATATTCTGTTTCAACACACCTTTTTCTGTTTTAGTCTGACAGAGGTAAACCGTCAGATGTCATGATCCAGAATACTACCATCACCACAATTGACATAACTGAGGATAACATGTCTGACATAGAAAGTAAAAAAAATAATGTTGACAAAAATGTACCAGAAAAAGAAGAACCAGTAAATGAGACTGTAAGAAGTACTCGCTCCAAAATGAGACAGAACAAAAAACAGATGCCAACACAAGATGTCACTGATAGTCAAACAAGTGAATCTGCAGAACCAGAAGTTAAAAAGATCAAAAGCACTCGTACTAAAACTATCAAGAATAATAAAAGAAATAGATCCAATTCATCTGATCAGGAGAAAGTGAGAGAACAAGTAAGTTAACTTATGTACAATAAATTTTGTGCTCAACCAACTTGAAAAATTCTTAGGTTTAGAAAATTTCATTTTTCAATGTCCATTGCAGGAGAGAAAAAAATCTAAATCATCTTTTGATCAGGAAATGAACAAGACCCCCCAAAGTGAATATGAAGATGCTATTTCTTCCATGGAGCCTAATCAAGAGGAATCACAACCGGCTAATGCTACCTATATAGCCTCTGTAGATGCTCCATTGCCCATTCTGAACCAAACCGTGGTCTTAGAAAATCACAAAACTGTCCAAAAAGATGATGGAAATGAGCCGGAGGTAAAGTCAAAGCAACCCAAGGAAAAAGTACCTTTTACTCCACCAAAACCTAAATCTAAGAAGAAAACGAAGGAGATATTTAGTCCGTTTGAGAAAACCCCTTTGAAGAAGAAAGTTGAGGCATTCGAAAAACTCCAGAGGTTAATATAAAAAAATCATACCTAAAAGTCTTATGAATCTGTTCTTTAAGGATTTTTCAAGCAAAGGTTGAACAATTTTCCGAATCTCTGAACAATAATCATAATAATTTTTTTTATATTGTTGTCAAACCTAAAACAGTAGTTCAAAAGTCAAACAATTTTTCGGATACTGTAAAAATGATTATATTAATATTTTTTTTTAGAAGAATTCCACATGTGTGAATAAACTTTTAATTTTTTTCATTTATTGTGACTACTAATTGATTTTATTCAGGTAGTTCATGGAACAGTTTTATGGACATATAGACTGGGCTATTTTCTGCCATGCATATTGAATTTGTGGATTGGATAATTAATAGTTTTAATTCTCTTTATTATATTTACAGGGAATATATCTTCAACAATAATCTACTCACTCTTTTTTGGTTATTGCATTTTGTCTGGATATCTGTGCTAATTTCCCAAAATACTATTAGCATATTTTGCTATCCACTCAAAATTGGCATGATGAATCATTTTCATTGAATTGAGATGTTGGTACTTGTTGATAGTTCTAATAGCATGTATGGTTGAATTCAGTTTAATACATGGTAATTCTATACATTCAGTCCAATTGCAAAATAATTGATGTGAACTACTAGTTACATTCTTACTAACTTTACCGTTTTCAATTTTTGAAGTATGTTCTTACTGCAGTTGACTTGGTCAAAGTGAAATGTGTCACATGAAATCTCTTCCAAGTTAGGAAAATTTTCGTCTTCACTTCTCAGTTATATCTGTTTAAATCTGGTTGAAAAACTGTTTTTCTGTTAATCAGCTGTCGCACCCCTACGAACAACAACCCTCAGAAGTCAAAACTTATGCAAGCTAAGGATTAACGAGGTCTTACCTGTTAACGTGTGATTCCTAACACGGGTTGGACGATAGCAAGTGAAAATCAATTGTTCAGATTAGGGCTTGAACCACCGACCAACACGGCAGTCAATTCGAGTGAGTGAACAAAGCACCCACGTCGAACCGCCTGGCTACCGACCGAATAATTAGTAACGAATTGCTGTTGTCCCAGATTTCCTGAACATAAGTCATCCATGAAGATTATGAAAAGTATTAGGGCCAATATGCCAACTTGTGCTATTCCTATATCCGATGCTAATATATTTTATTCTTAAACACTTCCTTTCGAATTCTTCGAGTATGCTCTGACAGATCAGAGCACATTTTCTCTGATACTATACTTCTCTAGTTATAGTAGTAATAGGTTTCTGTCAAGGTAGTCATAGGCTTCAGAAAAATTCAGGAACATGCCTTTTTTTTAATAAACTGTATAATATTTCTATTGAACTGAAATATTGCCGACGTAGTTGAATATATCCATAACGAGTTTCACTAAATACTTCACGGTTATCAAAGGTACTGATTAGTTGTGAGCAATACATATGGGTGTGTAATTTTCCATCAGTACATCATCACCATATTTGAAAATGGGTTTCAATAGAGACAATTTCAAGTCAATAATTTTTTTCTACCCTTTTCTTTTACCCTTTGTTGATATTCACCTGATATTCAATTTCTTTATTTTTACAGTGAGGCCAGCAATATTCCCGTCAAGATAAAGTCTAAAATTTCATCAGCAGATGAAAGAGAAAATAATCGCGTATCTGGTAAACCTAAAGCTTTTACTCCTTTCTCGTCGAAATTTTTACCAAAGACCTGCAGCACCTCAAAAATTAATAAAGTTCACCCTGGAAAACTGCTTGATGTCACAACGAATCACAGTGACAGCATACTATCAGCAAAGAGCCTCAGCGCCTTGAAAGCTTCCCAAGCAGAGTTTAAGGAGAGAGAAAAAAGAAGACAAGAGAAAGAAAGTGAGGCTTTGAAAAAACGCGAGGCTCTTTTACTGGCACAGACTGATAATAGTAAAATAAAATCTGTTAAAATCTGTTTAAAATCTGTTTTTCCGTTAATCAGCTGTTGCCCCCATACGAACGACAACTATCAGAAGTTGAGAAACTAAGGACTAATGAGGTCTTACCTTTTAACGTGTGATTCCTAACACGGTTGCAGAATCATCCCAGCTTCAGTCAGATAAATTCTCTCGAGAAAAATATCTGGTCGAGGCGGGAATCGAACCCACGGCCTTCCGATCGTGAGTCGGGCGCACTACCACCGCATCCAATTCCACAAATACAAGTAAAAATAGAACAATTGAACAAAAAATAAAAAGTTGAAAGATTCTAAGCCAAGTTACTTCACGACGTTTCGACTGGTAGTATCCACAATCGTCTTCGGGTGATGACTGGACTGACTCCTCCGAGACATGACTATTTATGGGTTATTCGAGTACTTTCACTTATCTCTGCTTTCCTTTTTCGCTCGACTGGTTTAGTGGGAGATGACCGTTTGGCAGGAGTTGGCAATTTTTCACTTGATGATGAGTTTTCATATGTTGGGTATCTCTACGCTAGCTTGGCTAAATATGTTTTTGAACAACATTTATGCGGCTTCTTTGAATTTCCTCCTAAACCAATATTCCTCTCTGTGTATGATCTCAGCTTGGGACCACTCTATGTTATGTTGATAAGTCCAAACATGCTCTGCTATTCCTGATTTGCTGGTTTACCATCACTGTGTGTGCAGCTTCCGGTAAATGCAATTTTTGGAATCTCAAACCACGTTTGGTGGCCTGATTTTCGTGAGGCTGCTACGGATGGTGTTTCCTGCTTCAGATTCGGAAACACCATTCGTAGCAGCCTCACGAAAACCAGGCCACCAAACGCGGACTGCGCGCACTAAAATAGGCAGGAGCCCCATCATGCATAAAAAACATATCCCTTCTGACCTCCAAAGGAACTTTCTCCAGCAGTACTGGATGCACTTCTCTTAAAAATTTAACGTATACCTCACCATTTAACCGAGGAGGTAGAAAATGAGGCCCAATTAAATCATCCCCAATAACTCCGAGCCACACGTTAAGAGAAAACTGTTCTTGTCCCGAGAAAAACTACATTCGTCTGTAAATTCTATTGTGAAACAATATTTTGAAAGAGGTTTCAAACTACTTAGAAAGAAAATATGTTTGTGAAAAGTGTTAAATTATTATCATAGTTAAATATTTAGGAGTAACTCTCATTCAAAATCTCAAATGGGAAAATCACAGTAACAATAACATTAGACGAGTTAACCAGGAAATTAATGTAATAATAATCATTTCAATTTTATTTTCAAGCAATTTGGTGAATTGTTATATAATTCAAAACCAGTACAATAAATTGATTGTTTACCATGAAAAATCTGTATAACCTAATAATAGTTAAAATGGCACATATTTGTACTATTCGAGATCCTTTCATTGTTTTGAATTTTGAAGTTCAGCAAAAGAATGTTATTTCTGTGACTTCAATAGACAGTGTGGAAATCACTTATTGTTTTTTATGATTTCATGATGTAAATATTGTGAAATGTATTCAGGTCTATTTTGAAATGACTGAAAATAGGAAGTATGTTGACAATCTCAGTAAAAATTTTTAATGCCTTTTTGAGTGTGTGTAATTTTAGTTTATTATTCACAGATGTTGGGATTGAAATAAAAAAAGAAGCAGAAGATATGCCTGCTCCTAGAAAACTACCACCCAGAAAGAAAAAAATCAAGACTGAGAATGTGGATATTCCCAAAAGACCTGCAAGAACCAGAACCAAGCCAAGGAAGTATGACGAATTTGTTAGAGATGTAAGTTTAATAGTTTGGAGTATATTCTCCATCAATCACATTTACTTGAATTCGTTTAAATTTTTAAATACCCTGGCTTTGTTACTTGGTAAAAATCAATAACACTATGAAAATAATTACACATTTTTGCAAAATAGAAACATGTATTGGTAATTCTATATTTATATTATAAATTTCAGTTCAATAGTGACAAATCAAAGTGAATTTCAAAAACTTTTGATTGAAATTGAAAATTCAGTAGGACATTGTAATGAGCATTTTAATAAACTTTTCAATGAAAATAATACCAACCAAATTTTACACAATCTGTAACAATCTAATGCATGGAAGTTATAAAAAATGTCTTGGTTTTTATGCTTAGTGATGAAAATGTAAGCATTATTGCAAAACATTGAACTATTAATTGTTATTGGCATTGAAAACCAACATTATGTTGGTTCTACGAAACCATATTAATTCCGTTCCTTAAAAAAGTTTTTCAGTTTACAATATATCATCAGAGACACTGCAGAATAAAAAAACTTCTTTGAAAAATTAAGAGTAATTTAGAAACANCATATACATATATTGAGTATTACCAAAAGTTAGTTTTTTGACAACCGTTTTCCGGAAAGATATTTCAAAATGGGAAAATTTATAATAATTTTCGATGTTTACTGAAAGAAATACATTTTTTAAATCGGTATTATTCTGCATGTCAATCACTTCCAGTTGAAAGTCTTGGGGAACTGTATCCATATCGATATCAAACGGTGAGGAAAATATTTTCATAGAAACCGCTGTCTTCTCAGGTTTGAACATTTGGAATCGTAATTGAAATTTGTTGATTAAAATGTCTACATATTGTGCGTATTTTTGAGAAGTAGTAACGTTTTCTTTTTCTAAATTTGGAACGTGAGACACGTTCTGCAAAAGATGCTATTTCCACAATTTTAATTTGCACTCAAAGCACCGAATTTTATCATACAAATTGTAAATAAACTGTCCTTTGCCTTGAAGTTCCACATTAAGATCATGGAGATGTTCTCATGTTGATAAGAAACCCAAAATCGCACATTCATTCTTTATTATCAAAATGAGGAAAGGCATATCCCTTCATATCCAAGAACAATTATTGTATATCGCTTTTTAAGTTATATACTCTTTTTAGCATTGCACCTCTACTAAGCCAACGTACTTCGTTATTAAAAACCACATCGCCATATTCAGTTTCTAAATCTTTCAGGAATTCTTCAAATTTAAATTAACGTGCGTGACTTTAGAAAATTGATTAGTTTAATTATTGGTACTGTGACATTTGACAAACTCAGTCTTTTCGCACACAAATTTTCTTGGTGAATTATGCAGTGTTTAACGAAACGAGATTATGTAAATAGTTTGTAGGTGCGCTGGAAAGAATGGTAGTTCAATGAACAAGGGTGCCAACTATAAAATTCAATACTGGAGATTATAGAAATTACCGGGGTTGTCAGAAAATTGGGAGAAAATCAATAAAATAAATTTAATTTTTATGTGGCAAGCCACATAAACATGTTCAACGGGCCGCGTATTGCTCATCCCTGGATTAGATGAATTTGTAAAAAGTTCAATGTGTAAGTAGCTCACAAAACCCGCTTGCTTTCTTCTACAAATGTTGGTTAACCTTGAAGACAAGATGATGAAA